GGTTGTTATGAGAAGTAAATAACTAAATCTTTGTAGAATGCTTAGAGTGGTACTCAGTAGATAACAAGCACTTTGTGTTTTAAAAAAAAATAAAATCACCACTTACTGGATCTGTATTTTTTTTATAGCTCAGAATTTTAAAGTTGGAAGTGACCATGATTATTATATAACCCCCTATACCTTTCCCTCAATGATGTGTCCAAGGTTTCAGTCCAGTTGTCATATATCATTATATGACATAACATAATATATAATACTGTTCATTTTCTGTGATAAATATTCTAAAAGAGAAAATACCTAAAATATATATCAATATTCATAAAGACTGCCATTATTTAATATTATTAATGTTATTTAACATACTCAAAGATGTGCGTTTGTGTGCAGAGGTAAATCATAAATATCATTTTTGTCAGCACTCTCCTCCACCAGCTCCCCTGCCCCAGATGAAAACCATGGTCATTAATTATCCTTTTAAATACAAAGGGCAATGATAGATGCACTCTAGAATCCTAATCAATTCCATATCTCCCTGAAACGGTACTGAACAAGGTAATGCCCTACTTTTAAACACAATACAATTAACTGGTAGTTATTAACAACATAAGCTATGTGGATGGTTTACTGGCCTAATATTAAATTAGAAATTCACAGATCACCTTGAACATCAAGGCCCTATACTATCAATCTGAGTGAATATCGCAAATCAAAATGTGAATAGAACACATTACTTATCCTTAAAAAATCTCATTTAGGGGCTTTGACTTGCTGCAATTTGCCTGAAAGGTGACAAACTTTGCAAGCTATTTTGATACCTTGGCTATTCCTATGTTCTGATACAGTTAACAGTTTCAATTAGCTCATCTAGGTACTTAGATTTGCAATTAGCTTTTCATTACTCAGAGGGAAAAATATTTTTCAATTAAGAATTCAATCAAAGAACATCAAAACAAAATTATAATTGAGGTTGCTAAAATAAGCAACTGCACGACTCTGACTTGCAATTACAAATGTTTGCAGAGCACCTACTATGTGCTGGCGCTGTCAGAGTCGCAGAAGCAATGATAAGAACCTGGTTGCCGGTCTGGAAGTCCACACCTTCAGCAAAAACAGCACGCCTGTCTAGTGTTCAAGATCTAAAAACAGGGGGTACACCTCTACGTATTCCAGGCCAGGTGTGGGTCTTCCTTGTCATCAACATCCTCAGTATGCTACATTTTTCCAGCCAAGCAAAAAGTTAACGTTGCTCCGCAACCCGCTACATGTAATTAGGACCTAGGACACTAACTGTCTACGTAGGTGAGACACTTCCACAAAACAAAGGTGAGTGAAATTCTTGTGGCGGGTAACATTTGCAGAAGACATTCAGCCCTCTTTTCTTCGTTTGTCTACCTGGCAGAAGCTACCTGCCCTCTGGCTATGGTTCCCTTTATGATTCTGCATTAGCTCAGCACTTCAAATATGCATGAGAAATGCGGAGCCCACAAAGCTTCAAAATAAAACAGGAGACCAACTCTATCACTGCATCTGCAATGTACCCACGAGAAAAGGAATAAAATCCCAACCCCTTGCTGCTCTCCAGGCATCAATCATTATATACCATGTGAGTGGGTGAGTGTCTCATTAACCACTCATCGATCTCAAAGTTTTATAAGTGCGGTCATTCCCCTCAGGCTGGAGGTCTTTCTTCTGCTTGCTTTCTACTGTTTGCTACATGGGACATCAGTGCCCTGGTGGGACTTGTAATGGAGGGAAAGAAACTGCATATGGGTCCCCTTAGCCAAGCCACCTCCATCTCTGCCTGCGTACCGTGCCTGCTTCCTTTGATCCACCCTGCTGTGACTACTCCTTTGGCCTCTGTTTCACCCACCCCTCCTACGCCCCAAGAATCTCAGCTCCCACACTTCCGGCCAAACACTTTTCTTACTTAATAATGTTTTTGGAGACACAGCTATCATAAGAATTATTCCAATTATAACAATCTCCTGCCCCTTTCCCCATTCTTACAGGAGCTGGGCCCCTGTGAAGAACACTGTGGTGTATGGCATCGTCACACTTCTACATGTTTATGCAGCCATACCTTTAGGGGTAGGTTTGCATGGATCTTGCTGTGGGCTGTATCAGAGAGGGGGCACAAGCTCTGCAAAAGAAGGCTTCCTGATTTTTCTGGCTGACACTAATAGTATTATTCAGAACTTTATATCTCTAAATGATTTCACATTCATTGTACTGGGTCATCTCTATAACATGTCTGAGAGGCTTTTTTTTTTTTTTTTTTTTTAATAGTAGACTTTGGGGCGGCACGCACCTGGGTGGCTCAGTCGGTTAGGGGTCTGCCTTGGGCTCAGGTCATGATCCCAGGGTCCTGGGATCGAGCCCCAAGTCGGGCTCCCTGCTCGGGAGGGAGCCTGCTTCTCCCTTTCCCTCGGCCTTTCCCTCTGCTCATGCTCTCTCCCTCTCCCTCTCTCTCTTAAATAAATAAAAAAAAATCTTCAAAAAAAGAGTAGACTTTGATGGAAAAGTCCGGAACTTAGTCAAGGCGCTCAGATCACAAACAGCAGTGGATAGATAAGGATTTACCACCCACAGGTGTGAGATTCAAAGCTTGTCAGCCATGTCACCAGTGAACATAACTGCACAGAGACAGTGTTTGCCTCTGCAATCCTGACTTGAAAATATGTACTATAATTTTTATTCTTGGTTTACAATGTAATCCTTTATTTATTAGAAATAAAATTTTAGAACTCTATGGTGAAGCTACTAGGAACTAATGAGTGAATTTAGAAAGACTGTAGGATACAAGGACAACATATAAAAAAATTTACATACTATTAATGAGCAACTGGAAATTGAAATGATAAAAAAATCTGTACTATCTGGCAATAGTACCACAAAACATGAGATTCTTAAGTACTTTTGAGGATGTGTAGTATCCATATGCTGAAAACTGAGTCAGGTTTTGAAAAAAAATCAAAGGAGACCTCAATAAAAAGAAACATACACTGTATTTATGAATCACAAGATTCAGTACTGTTAAGCTGTCAATTCTCCCCAAACTGGTCTATGGATTCAACATAATCCAAATCAATACTCTAGAGCATTTTTAAAATAGATATTAAAATTTATATGAAAAGGCAGAGGAACTAGAATAGCCAAAACAATTCTGGAAAAAAAGAAGAAAGTTGGAGGACATGTACTATTTGATTCCAAGACATACATAAAGCTAAGTAATCATGTGTCATGTTGATGAAAGATTAGACATACAGATAAATGGAACAGAATAGACAGTCCAGAAATAGACTTTTACATACACGATCAATTGATTTACAAAACAGGTGCAATGGCAATTCAATGAAGAAAGTTAACCTTTTCAACATGGTGCCAAACCAATGGGATGTTGATGTGCCAAGAATGAATCTTGACCCATACTTTGTACCTTGTAAAAAATTAACTTTAGACGGACCATCGAATAAATATAAAACGTAAGTCTGAAATTTCTAGAAGAAAATAAAGGAGAAAATGCTCCTGCTCCTGCTCCTGCTCCTGCTTGGGGTGTATCCCAGACATCCTGAAAACATTGCTTTTCCAATTCACTACCTTTAAAGAGTCACAATCAAACCATCCGTTCCTCTCATAAATGCTTGCAAATGGCATTTTGTGCTTATTTGTTTTCTAGCCCAAATAGCCTGTTCCTATAATTTGTGATTTTAAGAGTTTTTTGCACTTCTACCCACTTGAGCAAACCCACAGTACCGTTTTCCTTAAATATTCAGATATCACTTCTTAATGCAAATCTATCTTCTCTTCATATAGGAACCACAGAATGAACACAAAAATATATATGTCTGGAGATTCAGGAAGACTAAGATTATTTGCATACTATCCTAACATACACTGATCTCTCCTATCTTGACAAAAGTTTTGCTCATCATTACTTTCCAGTTAAACTACCATCCTTCTATGTCAATGCAGAATGTGCTAGAGAGAACACTGGATTGTAAATTTTAAGTACTGCATCTTTTTAAAGATTTTTTTATTTTTAAGGAATCTCTACACCCATTGTGGGGTTTGAACTCACACCCCCGAGATCAAGAGTTGCACGCTCCACAACTGAGTTAGCCAGGTGCCCCGAAGTGCTGCATTTTAAGGTCAGTTCAGCCCATAACTAGCTGTGTGGCCATGGAAAAATGACTCACCTCCTGTAAATAATATTTGTCTCCAACCCTGACCTCTCTCCAGGGCTTTAGTTAGGAAACTTCAAATTCCTACAGACACATACAGCCTCTCATGCAGCATTTAATTGTTCCTGGATATTGGTTACATTGGCATCTTTTCCTATCACTCAAATTATAATTGTTAGTTATTTGTTCATGTATTCATGCTTTATTTCTTCAACTAGATTTCTCCAACCAGCTTATAAATTCTTTGAGAGGAGAGAAGTACTCATATACATCTTTGTTTCCATCCAGCATCTATCACATAGCAAAGGCTTAAATATTCTAGGTTGCCAATATAATCACTTGAGCTTACATATTCTAGTTTGCTGATATAATCGCTTGCCTTTGCAAAAAATAACAGCCAAGTTTGACATACTCATGGGGTTGTTCCGGGCCTTCTCTGGCCACTCATGCTGTGGCCTCCCCTGCTGCCTCCTTCCACTAACTCACCCCTGACCCCAATCACCAAAGTCTATGGCTTCATTTTAATCTAGTTTGTTCATAGCACTGAACACTCTCTGAGATAACTTTTCCCTCTCCTTCTCTTTTTCTCTCACTGACTCTCTCTTTTTCCTCAATCTATTTTCTGAAGACTCCGACTAGGATTCAAGCTCCATAAAACCAGGGTCCAATCATGCTCACTGTGGTATTCAGAACCTGGACCCAGGCCTGGCACATGGTAGGCACTCAATAAATACTTATGGAGCTGTTGAACTTGCCCCTCAATACAGTGATACCTATTGGAGACCGCACAATTGAAAGGAACAAAATCACACGTTTTACCTGTAAAGAGGTTCTACAAGGTCCTTTTCAAGAAAATCATGATCATTCTTGACAGCCACAATGTTGATGGGAAATTGAGAATCTGAAAAGGAGAGAGAAACAGAAGTTTTTGCATCTTGTTTTTATCTGAATGGGCACCAATATCTTTTGACCACCACATTTCAGTACACATGACCGATCCTGGCAGTTACTCCCCCATTGATGGATATGTTGGTAATGTTTAAGATAGTAGGCAGTTTTATTTTTATCAAATAAATGCTTTTAAGGATACAACGGAAGTGTGAAATATGAGAATAACCAAGTGCTTGCCCTTGGATAGGATCGAATGCTATGTGCTTGTATTGTTGTAGTTCATTATAATTGCAGACATTTGCCTATATGAAGAGCTTTTATACTCTCGCCATCCACCTAATGTCACTGGCAGATTTTGTTTTCTTCAGAAAGGAAATTTCCCAAAATACCTAAAGCCCAATGGCCTCGAATGTGTCCTTTTGTAGCAAAATCTTGAGTTACTTTAGACTATCAGCAAAATACTCAAACAACTGATTCCATCCAAAGAGAACAGATTCCAACATCATGACTTTTCTCCCACAGACTCTTCGTGCCAACTTTGGAGGTCAAGAGCAATCCTCAAGATGCAGTGTTAATTTTAGGTACCTTATTCACAGAGGGAAAAATTTAGAGATCATTCTCATAGAGGCCACAGTCGAATCTAACAGACAATGTCAATTCATTATCACCATCCTGCCATCCTTTCTCTTTCTCATTTTATATTTTGCATTGCCTCCACCTTGCCAGTCATAATCAGTCTAAAGGTATCTAAACCTTAATGTGAGTTGGAAACAGAAACAATCTCTTCTGGTGATAGAAGCAATGTGAGTGCATTCCAGATGGTGCCAGAATGAGGACTGTCTTGTTCTGCTAGAGAGGGAGCATGTGTAATAATGAAAAACAGAGACAACCGAAGCCCAGCTGCCTTGGCTTTGAATCTTGGCACTGCTAATCTCTAGCTGTACAACTGAGGGCAACTTAGCTAACGTCTTTTGGGCCTGTGTTTCCCCATCTGTAAAATGGGGATGATGTGAATCATAATATTTACCTTGTGGTACTGAGAATATTAGATGAATAGCATAGCTAAAGTACTTTCAACAGAACCTGGCACACTGTATGCTCTATACTATTTGCTCTTTCTTATTATGTTTAGTCAATGCATATGGCTTAAACACAATTTGACAGGCACCTTTTACTAACAGCAGATTTTTTTTTTCCTTTGGGAAGAAATTTCCAAAAATAACCCAAGCTCAATGGCCTCAAGTGTTTTCTTTTATAGCAAAATTTTGAGTCACTTTAGAGTATCAGCAAAATATTCAAACAATTGAAACTATCTAGAGAGAAGACATTTACTTTACTTCTTAGCCACCTGTAGGCAGGTCAGTTTAAATTGCATATTATCGTGAGCTTACAGAGAGAGTTCACATTATAGGAGAAAAGCCACTGCGTTATGGCTCACAGGACTGATTTTAATTCTGATTCCTCCACCTTTTAATGTTGGAAGTCATGTAACCTCTTCGGACCTCTCCCTCATACTCAGGAAATTGGTGGTGGGGCATGGGAGTAGGGTTGCTTAGACGAAAATTATAAAACCCTCCTTGCCTACAAGGCTATGGTTTATAAAAAACTTGTATCAGAGATTCTAGACTTCAAAGCATATTCTGAGATGTGCTTTCCTTCACCCTCAGGGAATTTAAGTTAGAGAAGCAGAATAAGTGTTTTGTTTTTTAAAATATAAAACTGAGCTTCCAGGTGAGTGAGTGAGATTCCCCAGGAACTACAGGTGAATTTTGTTGATTCTTTCTATCTTACATACATTTTATGCCATCAGGAAGAGAACTCGATGCTGCTTCGTGTGCTAGATATCCTTTTTGAGTCCTACAGATCCATTCTCCACTTTTCTACACCCTGCCTTGTGCCCCAAGGTTCACCTGTGTGGGTGGCATTCAAGGCGATTCATGTCCTTTGGCTTCCTTTCGTGTTAGGCCAATGGGACTCCCTCGCCGAAGATGGAGAGAGGAAGGAGTGTGAGGTCAGGGCATTTACCCTCCTGGTTCTCCCCCACCGCCAGCTGTGTCCTCTGCTCGAAGGATTCTCTCTCGTTCTGGGTTCTGGCACCCTCTCCCTCTGCCCATCCCTTTGGGCCTGCAGCAGTGGTAGCTCTGCTGCTATGGGCTCTGGGCCGCTGAACTGTTCTTCATGGTTTCTCATATCCTGTCCACACCTTTGTAATAAACATTTTTAGAAATAAATCCTCAGATTATCTTGAGTGTGCTGTCTGCTTACTGTTGGGATCCTGATTCACTATAGATAAGGACTATCCAAGAAGGAGGCAGAATTGATTATAACTTGGGACAGCACAGAACAGCATAGGGAATACAGTGAATAATACGATAATAACATTACATGGCGATGCTGGGGACTACACTTAGTGTGGCGAGCCCCTGGCAATGGAGAGAATTGTCGAATCACTATGGTCTACACCCGAAACCGATGTAACACTGTATGTCAGTTACACTTCCACAATAATAGCAATCATGAAAGCTGCCGACGGTAGAAGGCTGGAAGGAAAAGGCAGAGTTGGGATTGGTGGTGAAGAGAGGAGAAGCAAAAAGCAAAGAAGTGAGAAGCAGGGTCGAGCAGAAAGTCAGGTAGGCCTGGGAAGCAATACTCATGTCTAAATTGGCATCAGTGTAAGCGCTGGGATTGCAAAGGCTGAGGAAAAGAGACAGCAAAGAAAAATGGTTGAGAAGAGACTTGGAAGTCAAAATACACCATAGGATATGTGAGGTTCATTCTGAATTAATGCTCTTTATAAAGAGTGAAGGGAAGGCCAACTTACCCTCATACAACTGAGCGTATTGTGGGAACCCAGCAGCACGGAGCCAGTCACATGCTTCCTTCGCCTCAATTTCTGAAAAATACAAGAAAGGGAAACGCATGAGTCCAATGGGCACACACCAGCACTCTACCTTAATCAAGGAGAAACTGGTGAGCATTGTACAAGTTATTACAAAGCAAAATTGTTCTCAGGTAAGTCTGCAAAAGTAGGCCTACCAGAAATGGGGGTAAAATGAGCAGGTCTCACAAAGGTACTTAGGTGTCTATTAAGATTATCTTCAACGTCGATCCACAAGTATTTGGATAATAACAAAACCACAGATCACAAAGGCTGGGTTTCAGGGCAGGGAAAAATGTCTTATTTATATACCAGGGAACCAGGGGGATACAGAGAAGGAGGAAATACTTCCTTATGATCCTTTTTTTTTTTTAACGAATTTCTTTTTAGCTTTCAAAGATAAGGCTAAGAATACTTATCCAAAATTCTTTTATTCTTTCACTCTTGGGATAATGAAAGAAAGAATACAACTGGATGGTCTATGAAAATGTATTTTCTCATGAAGAAAGGTATTACAAAAATCCAATGTATTGTTATTTCTTTAATTTTTCTAATGGCTTTAATTCCCAATGCCTTCTAACAAGATGTTCATTCATCAAGCACATTAGAATGGTTTCAAGCTGCAGAATACAGCATGGAAAAGCAGAGCTGGTTATCTGGAACTGAGGCAAGTTTGATGGGGCTGCTAGAATCTGTGAGGGCTGAACCCAAAAGGTCGATATGTCCTTTGGGTGACCATTTCGGTGTGGACGTACCAACAACACATGGGACCACCTGCCTGGAGAAGCTGTGGAGTGAGATGGGAGGAGTCTACAGTATGTGAACCAGGTCACTTTTTGACCTTGTGAATCCTGGATCATTTCCCATCCACAACTCTCTTAGATAAATACGAATGCAAGGGGAAAAAAGTTCATCTGTCAAAAGTCCAGTTTCTCCAAACAAAACTAAACAGCCTATTATAATGGGTTTCTACCCAGTCCCCTTCCTCTGCTGTTGGGATGGAGCCCGCTCCGATCACTGTATTTCCATTTACTCGGACGTTCATTTCTCCCCATAGCAAAAGCCCAGAGTACAGGGTGTTCTTGGGACAACTGCAAAAAAACGATCCACTCTGACATGGGCTGCGGACCTGAGCCTGTATACCTACTTTGAAAGCACAACGTCCGTGCATTGAATTCAGGGAATCAGTGTCCGTGCAAAATAATGTTCAGTGTGACAGAGCTATCTGCTATGTTAGGGAAACAGACCAAAGGCCAGATCTTGCACAGGCCCCAAAGGGAAGAGCAAACACTTTCAGCCCCATCTCACTGACCCAGCTGGACATGGATTGAGATTTGTCATTGAATTCACGGAAGCAGAGCCTGTGCTGGTCCCTTCCCCAGAGTGTCTGCTTCCTCTGGCAACCCCTAATCCATGGTCATTCCTGTGATCGACAATTTGTAAATCTTGAGTTTTTTGTCTGGCATGAGGGTTTTTTACATTGGTACCAGCACAGACCTAATACATACTCATGCCTGCCATGTAGGCATCATTCAGAAATACCTGGGGCACCAAGCTGGAAAGAAAAGCTCTGGAAAGTATGTCTCTTAGGAAGGGGTGTCTCTGAGATCCACAAGTACAGTTCAAAACGGACTGTACCGCATTGGCTAGTGTGGGCTGTCTCTGTGAGGGTACGAAGGACAATTACTGTATGGTCTAAGAGTCCTATTTAGTACTCCTCTGAGAGTCCTTATACGAAGGCTTCCACTTTGAAAATCACACACATATTTCAGGGGAAGTAGGAAATGCACATTCTGACCTTAACATGTGGAAAATGTGGCGAGTTTCTACTGAGTCATAGACAGACTGTTGCCTTCTAAATTTTCAAGCTTCAGATTTGCTTTCTCTTTCAATATAATGCAGCGATTAGTAAGGAGGAAATATCTAATTTCTGGGTATTCTCCAAACTTAATTATGAGCCAACAAGTCTTTTTTTTTTTTTAAGGTTTTTTTTATTTATTTGAGAAAGAGAGAGAGAGTTCAAGCAGGGGGAATGGCAGAGGCTGCGTCAGACTCTGCACTCGGCACTGAGTCTGCTTGAAATTTTCTCTCTCTCTCTCTCTCTTTCTCTCTCTGTGCCCCCCCCTTTGTGCATGCCTGCACTCTGTCTCCCAAATAAATAAATAAAATCTTAAAAAAATAAAAAAATAAAAGCTTTTCTAGATAACTTCATTTTATTTTTTCACAAGAGCAACACAGATAATGAACTGAAATTCTATGCACACGTAAACATGAATAATCAAATCTTAACCAGAATCCAGCTAAATCAAACGTCAAATAGGCTGATTTTTAAAATGGGTAGGCATTTAGCTTTTAAGTCTCAGAGTCAAATACAACAAAAACTGCAATTAGTAAATAATAAAGGAGAAGAAACCACATCCCAGCCGTGGGGTATGGTTCCTCGACATCACTCTCCCACACTCAACTTGCTATTCTATTTCTGAAAATCTCTCAAATATTCCCCGTGCTCTAGCGGTCGGCCCAGCACCTTGGTATCTCGATCTCAGGGCAAAATCAACTCTTGTTTACCACCTGCTGACAAAGCAATCAAACAAAGTAATCACACATACCTAACTGCTCTTAAATTTAACTTTGATCATCACATTGATTTGGAGGGAAAAAAAGAGCCTTACAGTTTCTATTGAGTGAGTCCCCACAGCCCCAACTAACACCCATCAAACAAATGCTACTGTTTTCCCCACAGCATATTACCCTTGGAATGGCCAAAATGCCCACAGAATTAAAAAGGAATCATTATTGCCGGTGTCATCATTTCACCAAGATCCACCCATCATTTAAGGAGAGTGTGAAAATCTCTTTTTTACTGAGCTCTTGCTGGCTAGCATAATATTCTGTGAAAACTTTAAGGGCCATTCAAATCACATCTCTACAGTTTTATTTGTTCTCTGTCTGCAGCCCATACCTGCCCCTATAGCAGCTCCAGGGCCACAAGGCAAAGCATCAAGTTGCTGCAAGTCTGTAGAAAACCTGTGTGGGGCAGAACAGGAGAGAATGCCCTTGGACAGACTGGCCTACTGATCTCTACTGTGGTTACCACATTACATTACCCGAGAAAATTCAATCCGTTTGGTTCCATAGACATGATAGGATTTCATTAGAAATTTTGTAATTATTACATGTAAAAATCATTTCTCTTAAACTCTGTAGTGGGTGCCTATTTTTGCCTGCCCAACATCCTTCCCCACTTCTTCAGATAATAGAACCTTTTTATGTTCAAAGCCTCTTCTATATAGGTTAGGTGGGTTGACACTCCTGGTCACCCTCATCACATTCCGTGGCCCTACCACCACCACCCAAATGGGCATGACCTACTCCTCAAGAACACCCGATTCCCCGTGGTTCAGGGAGACCAAGGAGCTTTGGGATCCTAAGTCAACAGTTGTTTGGAGGCTGAAATCTACTAGTTGAAGAGGGAGATACCCAGTTTTTCAATTTCTGCACGAAATCCAAGCAAACTTTTTCACTCAATAAATCCAGGAGATGGTTTGGTGCTAGGCATGTTCTTCTGCCACATATCTGTGACTCTACTTCAGGGAAAGTCACTCACTTTACCTCAGTTGCCTTTCCTATATGCTTAGAACATGATATGGCCTCTGTTGAGAGACAGACGTACACAGGGAGGCTGTCTCCCTGGGTGCCTCAGGAGCCGCACACCAATGGGCATGGGAACAAAGTCATTGTGGAAACGATCTACAGCCTGTACACTGGTTTTCAAGAGCATTATATTATTTCTTAATTATACATGCTCAGTGTTGAGAAACTATTAAAAAAAACACAAAATGCACAATGAAAGAAAACAGTCAACTCTTGTCCCATTACCAACACTTAATTCAATACATGTTACTTATCAAAATAGTAATCATTGTGATATCTTTGGTTGACTACCTTTTTCACAGAATAATACATTATGAATATTTCCCCATATAATGATATTGTTGCTAAAAATGAGAAATTTACTTTGTTTTGAGAAGGATGCTTATTTTTTAAATACTTAATTTTTGATTACTGCCAATTGTTTTTTTTTTTTTTTAAAGATTTTATTTATTTATTTGAGAGAGAGAATGAGGTAGAGAGAGAGCACGAGAGGGAAGAAGGTCAGAGGGAGAAGCAGACTCCCTGCTGAGCAGGGAGCCCGATG